TGTTGCTAAAAAGCAATCAAAACTTTTTCATTTACAGACTCCGAGGGACAAGAAAACAGGAATTCATTTACAATTTATTTTTAAAAAATTTTATATTTTCTAAATTTCTTTTTATGTTGGAGAAGAAAATTTATAGAAGATTTATAGAGAAAGGTGGCTTATAAGTTTGGGTTTGAGGTGGTTATAGAATTCAAGAAGATTTTTGGTTAATAAATCGGATTTATGGAAAGTAGTTTACTTTTAATCGTTTTTTATCGATTACTAAAGAAATATCTACCAGCTTTTTATTAACAATCGATATATTATCGATTTCCGATTACTAATTTGTAAAAATCATGCTAAAGTTCCTAATCAAAGTCGTTAAAATGAAGGAAAAGGTATGTATTTTTGGTATAAGTCTTTAATTAATAAACTTAATGATTTAGAAAGAGTTTAAAAATTTAAAAAAAAATATCTAATATTTATATTCTTTTTTCAACAATTTCTTATCATTATATTACCTTTTATAATAAAAATCTTTTCATAAAAGTTTCTAAAAACCAATTTATTATCGATTAGTCTTGAGTTTTTATTGAAAACACACCCCAGTTCTTATTTAAAGTTATTGAATATTAAAAACTTATTAAATTATCCTTTAAAATAATTTGAAAAATTCATTTAAGCTTCTATCAAATATCTATTACCTTTTTAACAGTTTCATATCGATTTATTATCGATAAAAACTAAAAAAAAATCCCTAAACCAGTTGCCAAAATTCGATTTACCATCAAATCTATCCATATGCTTCCTGTATTTTTTTAGAAACAGACTCCAGTTCTCAATCAAAGTTGTTGAATGGAATATCCTGGCTCTCCTGGGCAAAAACTTGGCAACTTGTCTGGTTATGATAGTTTCCCCATCCCCCCATCCACCACTACACCCCCTTGTATGGATATTTTTTTTGGTTTTTGGAAAATGTTTTGTTTTTGCAGTTTTTCCGATGCCGCACACTTTTTGCGATACATATTGGTGGTCTGGGAGGAGGGATGGAGGGCAGTTGGGCTGCAATTTATGCGCCCAGGCCGACAGTTGTGCAACCGCACAGTCCACTACCCCCCTCGTTATGGTCCACACTTCGCCCCTGGACAGAAAAGTGGCCCAGCAAAGCGCGGACTGCCAAACCAACTTCAAACTGGCAATATAAACACATAAATCCTGGGCCACTGATACACACAGATTCCGTTAGAAGGCGCCACCAAAAAAAAAACAAAAAGGGTTGGGGTTGGGGTTGGGGGCGTGGCCCAGTGTCTGTCCAACTTTTACACAAAAAAACAAGAACTACAGTTAAACGGGGGATTCCCCAACTTTTATCACAAAATTTTTCGGTACCACCTTCAAAAATATTATTGGGGCGTCCCTGGGCAGTGGGCGTGGTTGTTATACTACCTTTCCACCCCCACCCCCCCTCACTTTTGGCTCTAACTTTAGTGTTTTTTTTTTGGAAAAATTGCAAAAAAGGGAACTTGTCGATGTTGGACAAAAGTTGAATTATTGCAAACATGGGAGTAGCTTCCACATATATATATTTTTTTCTTCCATTTTTCGAAAAGGGTTTTTAGGGATTCCCTGCACATGCATTATGAATTCTATATTCCGGAGAATGGCTGCGATGAACAGACAACAAGCTGTTTGCACTTAAAAGGCTTAAGGTTGCCGTCAGACACAAAAAAATAAAATAAAATAAAGCACAGACTTTACCCTCCTTAGTTTTTTGCCTTCTGGGGATTCCCCCACGCCCCGTGTGGCAGTCACTACTGCAGTGATTGAGTGCAACTAAATCCAGTTTCTAATGCAAAATGATGTATTATCCGGGATGGATGCAGGAAACTAAAGGAATAAGTAGTCTAAGGAAGATGAGCTCATATTGGAGGATATAGGATAATTTTAAGAAGTTACTTGGATAAGGTTTAAGGTAATGGAGTTTATCTTTAATAAAATGTTCTTGAAAAATAGAAATAGTTTTAAAAGAAGTTATACTTAATATTTAAAACTACTTATTATAATACTACTATTTTAACTCTAATAATAATTAAATATTTCTGATTAAAAGCTCTTAATATAGAATTTTTCAGTAATACTCTTTTCAGACTAGGTCCTAAGCTAACTCCTTATTTAAGATGCTATTTCTATTAAAAACCTTATTAATTATATTTCTTTTTTTTAATTAATAAAATAATTAATATATTAAAACCTCATCTAAACCATTTCTTTTAAAAAACAGTTTCCAAAACCAAGGTCAGTTATTGGATTTTTGTTGAAAAATCAAAGCCAAAGCCGAATGGCAACAAAACCATCAGCCCTTTTGGCCCACTTTTGATGGTGCGACTACACCATTAACCAGGCTTAGCCCGGGGTCGGGATTTGTCTCCCTTCCCCAACCCTCCCACTTCCTTCTCCTCTCTCCTCTCGTGTTGGCCAAAATGGAAAACGTCTGCCCAGAGCCATAATAACTATATCGATGTGCATTTCGGGGCGACTCACCCAAAAAAGCCAGCCATCTAGCCAGCCAGCTCTGTCTGTTTTCTGTTGCCTGTTGTTGTCTGCTGGTGGCAGCACTAAATCAATGTTGGAATTGTGTATTTCTGAAAGGGTGACAAGGGGTTAAGAGAGGGGAAGGGGGTGGGGAGGGACCTTGCCCCCAAAGGGGTCGCTCTGGGCGGCAAAAAGGCCGTCAATTTAGTTACCAAACCGAGGCGAATTTCGAAATGCAAACTGGCCAAAAACCAAACGAAAATGTAATTGACGCGCCCTGCTTAGTGATGGCAACGTTTTGTTGAGGATTCCAGGGGCGTTTCAGGCCCAAAAAACGTTGGGGTAGGGAAGGGGAAGAGACTGTAGACTGTAGAGTGGGGTGATCGGCCCCATCATCACTTTAAATGTTGATTGTCGGTTTTGTGGCCTCGAGAGAGGAGTGTCGCGTTTTTCGGCGTTTCACGTTGCTGCCAGCGAAACAAATGTTGCAGCAAAGCAGCAATGTTGCAATGTTGCAAGGTTGCATGTGGCACAGAGGGTGCTGCTGTGCTGTGCTCGTTGGCCTGTCAATTGAAAAGGTCGTAAACGGGTCAAATCCAGACCCAAAACGTAGTGTCAGTGAATATTTTATGGCAAAGAGTTTATTGGTTTGGAGACTAGGGGGGGTTTTTAAGTAAATATTAAAAAATATATATAAAAAAAAAATTAAGAAAGAGATAATAAGAAAGATTTTTAAACATAACAATATAATAAAAATTTTTATAAAAAAATAGTTTAATATAATCATTTAATTTATGAGTTATGGAATCTAATAGAACCCTTCTTTAAAAAGAATTCCCCTTTAAAAGAATGTACAAAAATTAATAAAGATAACCTTGGAAGCCCTAATATAATATTAAAATAATACAAATTCATAAAAGAATAATATAGTTTATGAGTTAATAGTTACTATCCACAGATCTAACAGTAAACTTCGTATAAAGTGTTCTTCTATATACAAAAATATATTAAAAACAGGTAACTAATAAGCCAATATTTTACCATAAAATCATAATATATAATCGTAATCATAATATATTTTCTTAATTTATATTCCCCATCTATAGATCCAATAGAACCCTTTCTTTTATAGGGTAGACAACAGTGTCATTTGTCCTTTTTAATCAAATGACATCGAACTCTGCAGGACTCGGCAGGCTGGAAAGGAAATGCAAGGCAAGGCAAGGCGAGGCAGAAGGCTTTATTAGGGGTGCCAGAATTGGTCAGGGAAGCAAAAGGTGACAGGTGAGAGTTCAGGGGAAGGAGCAGAGGCAGCAAAAGAGACAGGGATCCAGCTATATTGCTTTGTCATCCTGGGCTTCGCTCCCCTAATTGATGGTCCACCTCCACCACCACCACAGCAACCCTCCAAAGATGAGCAATAGTAGCAACCCTCTGCTAGGGAATGTGGAATATGAAAGGAAGCACCCCCTAAAAATCCTACACCTCTACACCTCTGTCCCCTACACCTTTGATAGCCCCTTGACCTCATACCCCATCCCCCATACCCATCGTCGTTTTATTTGAGGGCTTATTTAATGCCTCAGTGGCGATGATGCACTGCCCCAGAAAGAACGAACGACACAAAAAAAAAGGCCAAAGGGTCGCTCCCTTTAAAAATGCACATAATTAAAATTTATGAGCGGGTCTTAAATAAAGACATAGACAGTATACTACCCCTCCCAGCGACCCTAGCGACGGGACACAAAATGCAGAACAATCAAATTAAATACCTGTAGGAGAAAAACAGGCAAAAAAAAGCGTACAGACCAAACGGAGCTCAAATGAAATGAAATTGTAATGGCAATTTGCTGGAAAAAAACACAAAAAAAAAAATGAAAATGAAAATGAGAAAATGGAAAGAAATTAAGGGGAGAAATCAACAAAGGGGGGGAGGTAAAGGACCAATGTTTTAAAAACAAAATGTAGGCATTGAAGAGCTTGATATTTAAAGAAAATGGTCTTTAAGAATCTTTAAAAATAAACTTTTATCTCAGTCCCGTGTCGGCCAACACCCACAAAAATTGTCCCACCCAGGATATGGCCTGGGCGTCTGGGTAAAGGTCAAGTAATTACAAGTAAACAAAGTTAGAGGCCAGCCAGGGGATGGCAAAAAATAAAGAAAAACCAAAGAAAAACAATCTTCAAATAGTCGGGATGGAGAAGTCTATTAAATGGCGACAGCTGACAGCTGGAAAAAAAAAAGAAAAAGACAGCAGCAGAGATGTGCACACATAAAAAATTTAATGAAGGTCAAAGGTCAAATGGTGTTACACTCGCCAAGTGATGTTACATTTCTTGTAGGTTTACATCTTAAGTTGATCATGACTCTTAAACTTGCATCTCTGACGGTATTCTGCTTTGGAAAGTTTTCTATCCTGGCGACCGTGACTTGGCGACCGTGACCTGGCGATCTTGACTTGGCGATCTTGACTTGGCGATCTTGACTTGGCGATCTTTACTTGGCGACCGTGACGTGCCTACCTTGATCGCGTATTTAACTCGAAGATCCTGCCTTTTGTTGCCTCCAGAAAAAGATAAAAACCAAAAAAAATAAATGTAAACACACACGCATCCGAGGTCAAAGGTCGGAACATGTTTCACAGGAAGTGTTTTTCCAGTCGTTCCTTACGGCTTTCCATATAAAGCTCTTGCATCAACTGATGACCGTCACGGAGCTGTAAACAAGCTGCCACAAGGCGTCGGAGTTGATCATGATCCTTTTGGCGCTGCCGGCGTTCGGCTTCTTCAAGTTCCTTATCCTGGCGATCCTGCTTCTTGTCAGGCCGGCGTTCGGCTTCTTCAAGTTCCTTATCCTGGCGATCCTGATTCTTGTTTCCACCGCCCTTCTGCCTTTTCATCTCTTCTTCAAACTCCGACAGTGGCACTGGCTCGAAGAACAACAATCTCACCTGACGATCAAAGTCCCGCTGCTTCTCTTCCTCTGAGGGTTTGGGCCGCGGAGGCCTAACCACGACCTTGGGTGGTGGCAGTGGAGCATTTGGTCCCATAACTAAATTTTTAAACCACTGAAATAGTTCATAGATAGCAGAGGACTCTTGCTGTTTCTTTGGTGGGTCCTCCTTAGGTTTATTTTTCTGTTTCTGACGCTCTTTCTCCTCCCTCCTTCGGCGCCGCTCCATGGACAGCCCTATATGCACATGATATAGGTCTATAAAGAAATGCACTATATAGATATTGTCCAAGACGCTGCCCCTCATCAATCTCGATACACTCAAATGTGGTTCTAGCTGCAAGTCGTCTAGCGCCCTTTTAAACTTTTTGTAATTTTTATCCCACATAGATTTCGGTTCATGATGAAGGCTTTCCATCTCGATACATCCGGGATAGAGACTATTTAGCATTTGACAGAAAATCACACCACTACGCAACTCATCCATGCTTGTAATGTTACCATAGATCAAAGCATTGATCCAATTAATGAGCATTGTAGGATCCGTGGGGAGGCGACGTTCACGAATGGTTTCAAGAACTAAGGGAATTATTTAAAATTATTAATATTAAAATAATTTTCAATCTTACCACATTCAGGAGGATATGAATTTTTAGTAGAGTCCATTTTTGATTGTGTGACTTTCCACCTTGACGGTGTGATGAGATGTGATTGTTTTAAACTATACAACCTAATGACAGGAACATGTCAAGCTGATTTATTAAACCAAGACTACTATTTTAAGAAATTTTGTTTAAAATGTTTCAAACACAAACTCATACTTTTCTTATTTTATTCTACATTTTTGAAAGTAAGACTTCTTATAACTTCCAGGGTACATAAAGTTCGACTCCCTGTCGGAAGCCACCTTTTTCTTTATTTTTTTCCCCCCTATTGCCTTCCAAAAGTAAAAATCCCAGCTCAATCGAAGTACTTCCCGCATTTTTTCCGCCCACTGCTGCTGTCATAAATAACTTGGGCTTTAAGCATTATAAACCGCATCTGCATTGGGACAATTCCGTCTGAGACCCACGAGTCTCCCCCATACCCCACCCAACCATTTCAACCATTTTCATTGCAATTTTTTAAGCCTGAAAAAAATCATTTAAATTTTTGTTCGTTTTTCGTTTCATTTCAGTTTGCTTTTGTTGGCGAATTGCTGGCTAGCAGGATGGCCTGGCAGCCTCACTGCCTGGTTGGCTCGTCAAAAAATAAACTTCGAATAAATTTATGCATGCGAGTGAATTTGCAGTACGGAAATTTGTTGCAGTTGCAGTTGCCACTGCCGCAAGTTGAGCCATTTTCGCTGCCACCAAGAAGAGGAGTGTCAGTGAGAAAAAGAGGCGAAAAAAATAACCACACACATATAGAGTGGGTGTTGCAGGCAGCAAGCAAACCAAAAAAAAAAAGCACAAGGATGGTACGAAACGGCAAACAATGAAATGCATTGAAAATTGAAAATCAATGAACTGTTATAATAACTTGCCGCAGAGTCAGAAGCGAGCATCCAGTATCCCAGCATTCACATCTATCCGTGGGACATACAACCATACATACATCCAACCACCAGATACCGAGATCTACAGATACTGTAGCAGATGCAGATGCAGATACAGATAGACTCTTGTATTCATCGGTTATGGTATGGGTGCTTTCAAGGCATTGAAATGCATCTTATTTCTGGAACCACAAAAATTACACAGAGAGAATCTTTTAGGGTCCTAAGGGGTTATTATATAAATATTTTTGAAGAATTTATTTTATAAAATATTGGTATTGTGGTTTTAAGAGCATATTTGGGTTTAAAAATTATAAAAAGCATACTTTTTTTTGAAAAAGCATGCTTTGCCTTTGAAAAAGCATGCTTTTCTTTTGAAAAATCATGATTTCCCTTCAAAAAAGCATGCTTTCCCTTTGAAAAAGCACATGTTTCTTATGAAAAATCATGGTTTCTCTTTAAAAAACCATGCTTTCTCTTTAAAAAGCATGCTTTACTTCTGAAGAAGCACGGTTTCCTTTTGAAAAATAATTCTTTCCCTATGAATTGCATACTTTCCTTTCGAAAAAGCATGATTTTTTTTAGATGGCATGTTATTCTTTCGAAAAAGCATGCTTTCCTTATGAAAAAGCATACTTTGCTTTCAAAAAAGCATGCTTTTTTTTTAAATGGCATGTTAATCATTCGAAAAAGCATGCTTTCCTTTTGAAACTTGAAGAATTATGACATGAAGAGGAGAATTTTTTTGTATTCAAGATCCTTTTATTGAAGAAACTAACTATTTATGAGGAAAATTTTTCAAAAAGCATGCTTTTTTTATAAAAAAGCACTAAAGCCGTTCAAAAATCCTTTAGAAAATACTCAACTATAAGAAATTATGATAATTTTGTAGATATATATTCAATATTTATCACAAACTTCAGTATTTTAACTCTTTTAATATTAGAAACTAATTATTTCTATAGAAAGTATTTCGAAAATCACGATTTTCTTCGAAAAAAGCATGCTTTTTTTTATAAAAAGCACAAAATGCATACAAAATAATAAAAAAAATTTAAAAAAGCATGTTTTTTTCTATTAAAAAGCACAAAAGCCCTTCAAAAACCCTTCAAAAAATACCCCTTAGGCCTCTAAAACCTATAAAACACTAGTTTTTATGATTTTTCACAGTGTAGAATATCCTTCCCTCACCATTTCTGACATTCAGGTCTTGCGCCCGAGCAACTCGTGCGTGCGGTTCTCTCTCTTCATTAAACATATGTAACGCGTTGGGTTAACAATTGGAAAATATGGCAAAGGATGAGCCTGCGGCTGAACACGGGCCGCCGAATGATGGAAGGAAATGGAATGGATGCCACGTCCTGGCACATCCTCGAACGTCAACTTCGAGTCGGATGCAGCGATTAAAAATTAAATGCCTTCATATTAACAAACAAGCAGTCTCTGAGTGACTTTTTTTCTCTTTTATTTGTATTCTTCATTCGAAAAATGTAAAAAATTAAAAATGAGAAAAAAGCTGAGCATCAGCCAACCAGCAGGACAATGGAGTTCGAAAGTAAAGAAAAAAAAAAAAAATGGTAAAATGGAGATGGAGTGGAAAATGGAGCTGGGAAATCCTTTGGTGAATGTAAAATGCATGAATCGCTGGGCGCCACGTGTGAAATTTATGCACATATGTTGACAGCATTTAAGTGGGAAGGAGTGAATACAGGAGTCGGCCAGGACATGGCTTGAGTGGTTCTGCTTCTATTCTCTGTGGCTTTCGACTTTTTCTTTAAAAGATTCAATGAAAAATTGTTGGCCAAGGTTGAAGTATGTTGGTATTATGATTAAATACTTAACACTTAATGCTTACTTGTGCTAGTACTTGTCTATTTTTCTTTTTTTTAATTAGCCCTGACCCAAAGGGCCATTAAATGATGACTGGACATTCTGGTGTTGTAGCTGCTTTTGGTTTCTCATTAGTCGATGCCGGGAGTGCAAACAAACAGCCACAAAAGCCAAATAATAATGAATAATTAAGCGGACAACGATGACCATTTGGGTCAATAGAAAATGTAGCCAACATTCTGAATCGTGTCCATCAATTGCTATTTGTCTGGGCCTCCTTTTTTTTTTTGTGTTCCTTCGAGCCACTTTCAGGCTGAATGTTGTCATCATCGTTTTCACTTAACAAGCATTTCATTAGCCTAATTCCGATGGCTCTGCGATTTCTCCAACTTCCATCCATCATCAGCGTCATCGTCATCGTCCTTTTCTTGATTGTTTGAACAGTGTGTACCAAGGAGTTCCCCCCCCCTACTGATTGATGTTTGCCCTTAATGGTAGAGGCGGACAACCCAGCGTATGGGTGATATTAGTTCGTTTTTCTTTCGTTTTTGCTCGAAGCCCTAAAATGAGATTAATGCCATTTCTCAGTAATTTATGCGTTGATTGAAAAAGAAACCAGATGGCAGAAGCAGAATCAAATTCTGGGGAAGAAAACGTAATGTTCGAGTGTGTGACATGTGGCGTATGCGTGATATTGGATTTATAGCTATTCGGGGGTGTTTATTGGATTAAATTATGTATATCTGAGATAACAAGGGTCTTTCTTGTATTTGATTTAGAAATGGCTATTTAATTGTTAAAATGAATGGTTTAAAGTTCTATAACATCTCATCCTCTATTAACCCACTTGGCGTATGAGCAATACTTAAGCACGTCTTTTTATTAGCTGACTGTTAATTAAGCTGATGAGCCAACTCAAAATAGTTGTTGGCCAATCAAAGTGGTAACAAGTGAAGCACTCTTGGGGTAACCCAACTCCCCTATCTGAGCTCTATTAGCGATAGAAATTGGCTCAAATAAAAAGTCTGCTAAGTGAGGAATAAGTGCTTGAAAACGATACTCTTACTTCCATTTAAAGAAAATTTACTTTAAGTGAATAAGATGTAATATTTTGAAACGGATATGTTTAAAACTCTTTTAAATAAATAATAATTTTCAATAAATAATAGTTTATTATCTTAAAAACAAGAGTATTTAAGTAAAGTCCTTGTCTAATCATTTGTATTCCCTAGATGCCAATTGAAAGCTCTTTGAATCAATCACGTAGGATTGCCTAGGAAGTACCCCGGGGTCTCTAACACCCTGCCACACCCAAGCCACACCCATAGTGCCTTTCCCCCCCTTACCAGAAGAACACGCTACCTGGTCTGGCAAATCCCCAGGTGGAAATCTGCCTCCGGGGGATTCTTTGCATTCTGCTTTGCATTTCCTGTGGCAATGTCTGTGGTCAGGCAGAGCTCCCCTTCTGGCTCTCTTGTTCTGTTTGTGTCCTGCATACAAATGTACTATGTCCTTGCAGGACATCTACTGCCCACCCTCCCCCTCTTTCTCTCTCTTTTATTTTTCCGGCTTCTGCAGCTGGCGACATTTCCTTGTTCGCGCAAATAAAATGCAAACAATGCTTGTTTCATTTGCGTAATAAAATATTTATACAGGTATTTAGTTGGCCACGAAGCAGCAGTGAAAAATTAAGTAAAAACCGGGGGAAAAAAATGGTCAAAAAAATACCGGAGAAAATGACAGAGAAAATGGCGGAAAATAAAGAAAAGTGTGAGTTGCAATTTTTCGGGGGTTTTGTTTCCAAAAAAAAAAAAAAGAACAAAAATTTAAACCAGACTCCTTAAATGAGAAGGAAAAATGGAAACAAATCATGTCTAGACTAAAGGGAAGGAGAACTTATTTGTATCCTTGATATCCTTTGGCAGCTGCCACCCCTGCTGTTGATTGTCGGTGGCTCACCGCAAATATTTGCGGCAACAGGACCTCGCCAAAGGGGCTACATTCCAATCATTATTTACTCATAGCGGGTTAAATATTTAATTTATTCAAATTTTTATATAAATTACTAGCTAATCTAAATAATAAATATTTTATTGCAAATTATTTTATTGACTTGCCTTGCCATTTTATTTGCATTTCAATTTTTGACTGAAATCTGTTCTATTTTTTTCTCTTCATGTTTTTTTTTTTATCTTCTACCTCATTTAAATATTAATGAAAATTGTATTTCAAATGCCTGTCGCTTCATTTCAGTTTAATTTACATGTAAATATCTTAATGCCTTGTTTTAAAAAATATATATGTATATATATTTATTGTTGCAATGATTTTTTTTTGTCATAAACCCTAATTGCTTTATTGTGTGAAAGGAAAATGCTTTTGTTTTAAT